AGCACAGCCACACACAGGGGCCTGGAGCAGCACTCTGGGGGGAGTTTCTTTCCTGCCCTTCCTTTCAGCTTCTGGGAGGCTGCACGACCCCAAACTCTGCCCACAAAAGCAGCATCCTTTGCCAGTATCCTCTGCACTGAGGGAGCAGAAGCCCTGTAGGAATTACCCTGGTCAGGGGCTCAGGGGAGTGGCACCCACTGCCCCAACGGGGAGAGGTTACACCTGCTCCTGCAGCCAACACCTCCTGCCTTCTCCTGGCTGTACAAAAACAGCCACTGACTGCTCCCTGTGATGGTCTCTGTGCCACAAAGCCCAACCTTGCATTCAGACCATGCCAAAGAAGAGCTCCTCACGGCTCTTTCCAGACCTGGGCACAATATATTCCTGCTTTTTTCAGAGGAAACATGACAGAGCCATGACATGGCACCGTTCACCAGCACAGCCTCTGCACACCAGGAGCAAACACGCACCTCTGGGGCTCCCCCTCACCTCTGGGGTTCACCAACACAGAAAATCCAGACTTGGGGCTCTGGGACAGGATCAGAAGCAGCACAGAGCACAGTTCAGAGCACCACACTGTGGCTGTCCTGGCACTGGAACTGCCACCCAGCCCCTCTGCAGCTGCTTGACTCCCCACACAAACTGCTTGTTCCTGCAGCTCCCCCTGGGAGGCTTCTCAGCTCCCCCTGCTCCTCTGGGTCCCTGTTTCCCAGACCATTCCATGAGTCCTGCTCTGCTTTTCTTTTCCAGACAAAGTGTGATGTGACATAACAGACCTGCAGCCTTGGAGTGAAACCTGCCCCCCTCAGGGTTCCCTCACACCTGCACCCCCACCCAGCCCACAGCTCAGGAAATTCAAATACCTATCACTACAATAAGGGGTTTATCCCACCGAAATTCCAAGCAACTGATGACAGGAACATCTTCCACATCCTCGGATTTGCTGACTGTTCCCACCACTTCCCAGCCTTCTGCAATTTTAGCCTAGAGAAGGAAGGGAAACAAATATTAAAGAGTTGGCAATTTTTCAAGCTTAAAAAGAAAATAAGTCATCTATGGAAAGACACTGGTGGGGTGTTTTTACATTTTCAGTTAAGCTGACTGGTTTTTCTGTATTTTTTTTGGCATCCCTTGAATTTTTACCACCAAAGTCCTCCCACTATCAGCACACAAACCTTGACTTAATAAACAACAACAACAAAAAAAGTAATTTTCCTTCTGGCATTTATTCCAGTTCAGTAAGCAAACAAACAGCAACTGAAAAGCTTTTTTTTTTTTTTTTCTGCTCATGCAACAGTTCTAGGAAGGTTTTTTTTTGCCAGGAAAGCATGCAAAAAAGAGTAGTGTTAAACAAATTAGCACAAGGCTAATGCACAGAGCAGTGCACTGGAAATTGCAGAAGCCCACAGTGACATTTGCAAACTCAGATGCCAAAATTCAGCTCACACAAAACCACTCAACACTCAGTGCCTCACATAACCAGAGAACCAAACCTCCCTCCTGCACCCTGGTAAAAAGAGCCTTAATTATTTGTGTTGGAAATCCATTTTAACAATAAAAGAGCTTCTGCTTCTTGCCAGCCTCATTTCCTGGGAAACTGGCACTTTTTACACGATGTTATATCAAATTTACTCCAGCCAGGCAATGCCAGGGGTGAGGCCCGTGAGTGCAGGTCCAATTAAATGATCTGCTGCAATGGCTCAAATTGTTAATAATTCAATCTTTACAGTAACAAAGTGATTCTTCCAGCTTTTCAATTAAATATCAATGTATTTTATGTATCTTTCACTTCACCATCACCCAGAGCTCCAGCTGCCACAGACCCATTTCTAGCACCAAGTGGGCAGAACTGGAGATCCTGCAGCTCCCTCGTGAACACAATGTGCCCCCAGCCCAGCCAGGGCACAGGTGACCCCCACAGGGGTCAGGGCAGTCACACTGTGCCCATTCACAGCCACACCCCTGGGTTTGTTTCAGTTTAAATCCCGTTTTTCCACGTGCATTCCCTTTCCTTCTGCAGCATGTTCTGCAAAGGGCCCTGTCTCGCCTCACTGCATAGGTACAGTGTAAAAAGATTCCCAGCAGCTCACCAGCCCTGCTTTCTCCTCTATTCCCTGCTCCAAAGGCTGCTCCAAAGGCTGCCCAATGCTGCCATCGTGTGCCTGGGCCCCGGGATGCTGCCTCTGCCACACTCCAGGCACAGCTCCAGTCTCCAGGGAGGGAAGGGACACAGATCCCAGCATACTGAGCTCACAGCCCGAGTGTGGGAGAGCCACAGGGTTATCCTGCTACCACCAGCTTCCAGGAAAAACACCCACACGCCATCCCCAGCCGATGGAAAGGGGCTGGAGGGGGGTGTGCCTGTCACTGGTGGTCCCACAGCACAGACCACCAGCAGCAAACAGGAGTGCACAGCAGGAGCACAGACACTGCAAACAACTCAGCCCTCCTCCTGATCCATACAGGCAATATTTGAGTTTTCTTCGAAGGAAAGGGGGGGAAAAACAGGGAATCGTTCTACCTTCAAAAAGCTCTGGAGATCATCTGTGCTGTAGACATCAAAGACCTCCATGGCTCCAGCACTGGCTTTGCTCACTGTTGGAGTCAGGGGGCAGCTGCAAGGGAAAAACAAAGGAAAAGCATCATACAAGAGCAAAAAAAGGAAATCCAGGAGAATTTCTGTCTCTGTATTCCCTTCTATTGCCTCTGCAACCTACTCCAACCAGTGCACTACAGATCCCACTCACTACAGGGCTGTTTTACTATGGAGAGTAGGGCTCAGGAATTCACCCAGGAAACAGGTCCCAGCAGTTTTGTGCAGATGGGACAAATGAAACCTGAAATGGGTTAAAACAAGAAGTGCCCAGAGAGGGTTCCTTCCCAGCCTGGAACACCACATCCCTCAGCCTGCCTGCAGAGCTGCAGCCACCCAAAACCCTGCTCCCCAGCTCAGCCCCAGAAAGCTCTTTGAACAGCTGCTGAGTGATGCAGGCTGGAAACCTCCCTGGGAGCCAGCAGGGAAGGAAAGAGGAGCTGCAGGAGCAGATGCACAAGCCCCGTACCTGTTCCTGTGGCTGGTCACCACTCTGTCCACCCCCAGGAAGTACGCGGAGCGCAGCAGTGCCCCCAGGTTCATGGGGTCCTGGATCTGCTCCAGCACCAGCCAGATCAGCTGCTGCTTCCCACTCGCATCATCCCCCAAATTGGGCGTTTCAGCGTCCTCCAAACTCTTGAACCGGAGCGGGGTGGCCTCCAGACACACTCCCTGGTGGACCTGACCCCTGCAGAGCTCGTCCAGCTCCCTGCGCTGGACGTGCAGCACCGGGACCCCTCGGGCCGTGGCCTGAAGCACAAACTCGCTCATCACGGGCCGCCGGGAGCTGCTCTGCTTGAGGAACAGCCGGAACAGGTCCCTGCGCGCCTGGCTGAGGGCCAGGGAGCACGGCCCGATCCCGAACAGGATCTCCGAGCCCTTAGTCCTCTCCAGGCGCAGCGGCTTTCGCTCCATCCCTTTCCTCGCCCTGGGGAGCTCATCCAGCTGCGACAGCCACAGCTCCCGCCCGGTTGCCGACCCCCGCCCGGCCCCTCTGTGTCCCGGCCGGGGGTGTCCCCGCGGGGTGTCCCGGGAGCCCCCCGAGCCGGGACCCGCCCCGGGGCCCCGCGGGAGGGATGCGGGGGGACCCTCCTCGCCCCGACCCGCGGGCGGGGGCGGCTGCTCGCGGGTGGAGCGGTGCCGGACCCCGCACGGCCACCGGGAGCCGCACGGCCACCGGCACAGCCCCAGGGCGCGGCACACGCGGGGCATCAGCGCCCGCTCCATGGGCGCCCACGGGGGGGGATGAATCCCGTTCAATTCCCGGCCCCGGCTGAGCCGGCGGGGGGGAGGCCCCGCACCACCCTCCGGGCGTGGGGAGGGAAAACACCGCGCTCCGCTCCAGACCCGCACAACACGGGCAGGGGCTGGAGGGGCTCCCGGCCCCGCAGGACCCTCGTGGGTTCCCCCCCCAGGACCCTCGTGGGTTCCCCCGCCGCTCCCGCCCCGCCCCTTCCGGTTCCGGCGGTGCCCGCGGGTCCCGCCCCGCGCGGCAGCGCCGCCTGGCGGCGAGGAGGGGAACAGGCCGCACCCCCACCCCCCCGCTAATTAACAGGAGCTTAATTAACCACGAAACAGCTTTAAAACCGTTTAATCGCGGTTCCCCTAAACGCTGGGGAAACAGGGAAGGGACTGGCCATGGTCTAGCCACAGTATTGTTCTAAAAGGAGTTTGCAGAGAGAAGCTAAAGCGTTTCAGTCCTATTTCATTAGTCTGAAGCATTAAGTTACACCAGGCGTCAAAAACATCATCAGATTTCTTTAACAGGTTCAGAGATCTTAAGTAGAATCATGTTTTACTGATGGTTACCAGAGCCAACTCCGTTCATGGTTCTTCTCCCCAAAAAATGAGAGTTAAGACTATATATCTACATCTATATATAGATATAGATGTATATGTGAGCTGAGCTCACATATCTGCCAGGTCACATTTGCCTGAGGTACAGCACTTTGAATAGGCAAATAATTCAGCTATTCATTACTTATCTCCAAAAACTTTGTATTTCAGTGACTGCAAAGCTGAGCTCAGGAATGGCCTCCGCACTTGGACAACCTGAAAGGGGACAGGGGAACAAAATGCCTTCAGTTAACAGTGACAATTCTGGCCCTAATCCCGTCTGGGTTTTCCCCCATTCCTGATCCCGGGCTCATCCCTTGCACAGTTTAGCCAAACCCAGCCCACCCGGGGAGTTCAGGGAGCCCCTCTGGAGTTGTGGCTGCATTTGAACAGGGACAGGCAAGTCCAGCCTCCACAGGTTATCTATGAGACACCTGGATGCTGTTCTGCTCTAGAAAGTAATTATGTTTTTTCCCATAAACAACCACAACATTTCTGACAGAGGTTTAGCTGGGAACAGTAAAAAGGCTGTTACGCTTTTAACACAAAAATGACAGAACACACAACGAGCCACAGTGTGCCTCTCTTTTTATTCTTTATTTTACAGCTCACAATTAGAAACCTACTGATAAATTACACAGTTGATCCTCCCGTTTGGGGGTTTCAAATGCCTCAGGGTCGTGTCCCATCTCATCCCAGGAAGGTGGCTGGAGATGCCACCAGGTTCCACAGGGCCAAACAACCCGCACCGAGCCCTCTGCAGGGCTCTGCTTCATGGGGGGGGTGAACGGGCAGCAGGAATTATCCCCTGGAAACACACTTGAAATGGAAAAACATACTGGGCACAATTTCAAGACTTGCAAATGTTACAAATGTTCTTGAGGAGGGGGAAAAAAAAACCAAACAAAAACCAAACAACTTCCAGGGCTGCAGGGCAGCCAGGTTGTGTTTGCAGGGAGCAATTACCCAAATTACCCTTCTTGAGCAATTCTCTCCAAATCCTCCTTTTCCAGGGAGATAAGTTAGGTCCCTCCTCAGCCACGAATTTCAACATCTGCTGAACTTTGCACGCAGTTGCTGACACCAATTCAATGTTTCACCACATCCCTGCTTGTTTTTTTTCCCCCCTTCTCAGAAGTTCCCAATTTCTCAAATTTTTTTTTTTTTTTTTTTTTTGGCCTCCAACTCCTAGTTTAACTCCTTTCTCTTAAAAAAGATGGCACACACTGCACAGAGCACCTGCTGGATTTGCTCTGTGCAGAGAACCCACACAAAGCCACGGCCTCAACAAGCTGGAGGAGGGCAGTGCACTAAAGCTGTGCAAGAATTTCACTCACAGTAAATTAAAAAGCCAAATCCAGAGAGGAGGCTCTGTGCACTTGTCAGTAGAAAGTGGTGACAGATGAGGAATGGACAGAACACACCATGGGCATGGGTTGATAAACAGGAAAAAAAAAAAAGGGGGCAAATTGCCTTTGTTTTGCCATTACGAAGGAACATTTTGCCAGTTTTCTCCTTGTATCCTTCTACAGTTGCTCACCTTTGGCACAAGGAAATTCTAGGTATCACAAGGTTTCATTAATAATAATACTTCATACAACACTCAGCACTTACACAGCGCTTCTCGTGGTCAAAGTGCTTTACAAAAGCTTGTGAGTCCTCACAACACCCCTGTGAGGTAGGTAAGTATTATTATCCCCATTTTACAGATGGGGAAACTGAGGCAGAGAGGTAAAAGTGACTTGCCCGAGGCTGTGCAGGGAGTTGAACTCATGTTGTAGTGGCCCAATTCTGGCCTCCCTAATGGTGGGGTGACACAGATGGACTCCCAGAGCTCTCCTGGTGTAAGCCAAACCATCCAAACCCAAATTTCTCAGGCTCTCCAATCCTCTGCTCCGACCAACTGACCATCCCAGCTCCACCTGAGCCAACATTTGCCCTCAGAAACACTGCACAGAGTCCAGCAGGAGCGGATCTGAAATCTTAAGGCAACGTGTCCAACAGCTCCAGAGGAAGTTGGACACACACAGACCACACTGCAAAGAGTCTCGAGACAACTCCAGTGCTCTCCAGCTCTGCACGTGTCTGCTTTGAGGCCCATTCTCTCCTCCCTCAAGTAGAGTAAACCCAGAGCAAAACACTGGGGCTGCACCAGTGTAGCACTAACACGAGGTCTGACCCAGCCCTTCCACCTGCTGCTTTGCAGGCAAACACCCCTACAAGTCTCTTTTCGTCTCAGACACCTTCAGCACGGTTCATTTCACTCTCTCTCTCTCTCTGAGTTTGTATCTCTCCTCATAAGCAAACTTCCAGCTCCTCAGCACCAGCATTTCAACAGCACCAGACATCTTTCTAAGACTGATCCACGTTTCCAGAAAAGTGTCAATGCATGCAAATATCACATACAGAACATCGAGAGTGCTGGGAGATGATACCACGGGTAGAGGTGATCACAAGACAGCACACGTTTAGTTTTTATTAAAAATACCAAACAACTCACTCTTACTGTAACTATGCCACTGAGATTATCGTTCTAACCTGCACAAGTACAGGTACTTTTCCTCCAACTATTTACCTACCTAGAAAAAAAACCAGAAATATCAAGCACACACATTTATACTTCCCCAAACTTGGCAGGCATGATCCATGTGAACGGGAAAGGAGGGCTTGGGGAGGTGGGGGAGGTTGTATGCTGGGTTTAGGGCAGTGGAATACAAAAGAAATAGAAAACACCACATGCATCATCACCATCAGTAATCAACCTGATGAAAATAAACCCAAATATTAGATGGATTCATGTATGACATCCACTGAAAATCTCAAACCCTAAGCACACTGAAGCTGGCAAACATCTTGTGCCACTTCACATAGGTCCACACACAGCATCAGCAACTAAGATCAAACAAACCTTGAAAAGAAAGCAAAAGGAAGAATAAACCAGCCTGGAGACAACAATCTTCCACAAACCACTTCCCTCCATTATCATCAAATACATTTTACTCTTAAGCAGTTTCACAAAGGAGTGGGGGAGAAAAGAGACCCACTACTTGTTGTTGCTTGTTTGTTTTTTTTTTCAAACTGGCTCAGCACCAGCACCAGCTCAGAGAGAGGGAGAGAAAAACAATTCTTCAAACATGATCCTTGGTACTTGATTAAAACGTTGCCAGCCAGCCTTTGACACCCTGGATTGCCAGAGGGTCTGAAGTGGAGTGGATGCACTGTGCTGCCCGAGGGCCTCTGCTCCTGCTACGAGATCTGCTCCGTGGGCCTCATCTGTATATCCCCGATCTGGAAGAGACAACACAGGGTTTTACTGGAGCCCACTGGAAATGCTGCACTGCAGAGAAAGAAGCAAAGGTGAAATGTGCCTGCTGTGCCTTTAGCAGGAGGGATGAAAGCTCAAACGTGCACAGGAGAGGTGTGAGGTGACACCGGCTGACAAGTGTCACGTCCTCGGTTGGGTCCTGCTCCCAGAGGGCCAAGCAGCAGCACTGCTCCAGCAGCCACAGGCAGGACCTTTTATCTTTCAGCCACAGGCAGAACCTTTTATCTTTTTAGGACAACAAGGCCAGTCATCTCCACAGATCCAGTGTCAAGACAGCCACGTCTTGCCCCAAGGAGCAGAGTCCACACGAGGGGCTGTTCAGCCTCTCGTGATCAAAGTCTGCTTTCACAACAAGGAGCTTTCATGTTGCACGGGGTAAACACTGACATGGCTCCTGCCTCCCCCTGCCTCCAGCTCAAAGCTGGTCACCTATTTCTTGTTCCACAGAAGGGAGTCCCTGAGGCAGCACAAGCATCTCACACACCCTCGGGGAGGTGCTCAGCACTCGGCAGGATCGGGCCCAACGCGTCATTTGACGACTGGCACAACTCGAGACTCTCAGCAAACCTCAGATGGCAGCATCCAAAAGGGCAGAACGTGCCCATATCCCTCACATTCCTTCTGTCTTGCACAGTCCTGCTCTGCAGTCACAGAATCATAGAATGCCCTGAGCTGGAAGGGACACACAAGGATCACCCAGCCCAGCTCCTGGTCCTGCACAGACACCCCAACGATCCCACCCTGTCCCTGGGAGCACTGGCCAAACACTCCTGGAGCTCTGGCAGCCTTGGGGCCATGCCCACTGCCCTGGGGAGCCTGTTCAGTGCCCAACCACCCTCTGGGGGAAACAACAGAGTCAGCTCAGCCTTTGCTGGATCCGCAGGGATGTGACCAGTCCGGGCAGTGCAATCCCAGAGCCTGGGCACTGCAATCCCAGAGCCTGGGCACTGCAATCCTAGAGCTGCCATAAGGGAAGTGTAAACAAATGTGATCCCCACTAATCCCCAGCCCAGGCTCACTAAGCTCAGAGCTGATACAGTGGCTGATCAGCAAATGTCAGGGCAGCCCTCGCCCCCCTCCACCCTCAAGCCCCTGCTCCAGCTCAGCCCCAGCCTACCTGTACATGAGGGGGGGCACTGAGGACATAGATGACAGCATTGGCCATATCTTCAGCTTTGAGACACTGCAAAGACAGCAAAGGGATTCTCAGTCAAAGGGCACTGCAGGAAGTTAACCACAAGATCACCCCTCTCCTAACCATCAATAATGAGTCTCGACAGTGTCACTGGGGCATGTCAGAAAGATGCAAGCAAGCAGGAAAAAAATAATCCATTCAAGATTTAACAAAGGACATGTCTGGTGCTGATAATTCTTCAGTTGCTGTGAGTAGTTTTACTGCTGGCACGGTAATTCTGCCAGGTCAGGTATTGCCATCCTTATCAAAAATTCCCAGAGAAGCACAAGAAATCCTGTGCCACCTGCAAGACAACATTTCATATTTCTCCCCGAGCAGGAACGTTTGCTTGTTACACCTTCTCTGCAACAAAGAAATCACAGCCTGAAAAATGTCAAAGCTGACTGATACTTGTTTACAGAAACATCAAAATAAAAGGAAGAATATAGGGAGTTGGAAACCGAACCCAAATGAAAACCTACACAGCGTGTAAATACCAGTGCAAAATCTGAGGTTTGAGGGCTGAGACTTTGGGAGTGCTGAGGGCATCCTGGAAAGAACTGGGCACTCTGTGGAAGCATTAGCCAGGAGAGAGACTGTTCAACTATAATCAGAGCCACTTCCCTCTGTGTCCACTTCTCCAAGTCCTACCCGAATGCTCTCATAGGTTGCAGCAGCTCTCTCAGGGTCATTATCATGGAGTTTAAAAGCAAATCCCGTTTCCACCAGTCCTGGAGATATACACTGGAAAAAAGCAGAGCACATCCTAACAGGATTTGTAATTGCCCTTCAGTAAAACAATTAAAAAAAAAAGGGAGATAAAATTTTTAGCACTGAAAAAGCCAAAAAACCCCACCCATCTCTTTTTCTGTCATTCTTTCTTACTCATGTTTTAGGGGAATAGTTGAAGTGAGAGGACTTTGCCTTAATGATTGTTGTGGCAGGTACCTCTGGGGAAGTGCTGGTGGGTACTCCCCTCTCCACACCCCAGAGGGACAGAGAAGCAAAGAAAAACATGGAAAAGCTCTGACTGAGAGCAAGCAGCCCAGCCTGACTGCCCCCTCTGCTGATGTGACCCCCCCATCACTCCCTGACAAGCAACTGCCCACATTTTGTGCACCCAAAAAGCTTCTTCAATGCCCCCTTTATGCACCCAAAGAGTTTCTCCCTGGACACAGCTGTGCCTTCTGAGCCCCAAACTCTGCCTGAGAAAGAGAGGTGGCCCGGGACAGTTGGCCACAGGACTTCTTGAACATTCCCAGTGTGCTGAGCACTGTTTTTGCATCCCCTTGCCTCTTTTCCAAAGGGAAAACCCCCAGAGCCTGTCCCCAGTACTCACTGTAGCTCGTATATGAGTCTTTGCCTCCCGCAGCTCCTGCCTCAGCCCCTCTGTGAGGGCTGTCACCGCATACTTGGTGGCACTGTAAAAGTGCACCACGGACTGTGGGACCACACTGTGGCCATTCATGCTGGGGAGAGAGCAGAAAGGAAGGTGCTGAGAGCTGGGAGGAAAGCAGTGTCCCACCAGGATACTCAAACACACAGAGGGGGTGACGTGGTGGCTACAGGGGGAATTCCCCCCCCCCCGCCCCCCCCCCCCCCCCCCCCCGGGCTCCTCTCCATATGGCTGCCTTCTGGAGCTGGTCAAGAAGTTTCAATCTTCAGCCCTGCACCACCACAAGGGGTTGACATCACCCTTTACTCCCTGCTTTGGTCTTTCCTGCTTTAGACCAGCAAAGACTAAAAGAGTGGTTTGAAAAATCAACCATCACAATCCTTAGAAAACCCCTCCTTTGGCACCATCAGCTCACTCCAAGGTTGAAGTTCCAGTGCTTAATCCTCTCTACGATGCAGGGAAGAGGAGGAAGCCCCCGTGGCTGATCCCACATCCCCCCTCACTTACCTGTTAATGTTAATTATATGCCCATCATCAATGTTTCTCTCTTTCATGGACTGGTAGGCCTCTCGGGTGCAGATGCTCACAGCCATCACATTGACCTGAGGGGTGAGGAAACAAGAAGAAATTAAGCCCAGCAGCCCTGCCTGGCACTCCATGACTTGTCCCTCTCATGCCCGAAGCCAGGAGTGCAGGTTCCAGTCCCTCTCCCAGGGCAATTCCCAACAGGAACAGCAGCAGAGGGAAATGCACATACACACACCCCACATCATGAGCTGGGTCACAGGGGGCAGGGGGCACAGATACCCCATTCTGTCAGACAGCCCCAGCCTCTGCCAGAAATAAATGGACTTGATCATTTTAGAGCAAACCCCCCCTCTCCTCACAGGCAGCACTGCCCAGGAGACAAAGCTGGTTGTTCTGTCCAGCACTGAGCACACGGGTGTCTGGGCAGCTGGCAGGGCACTGACAGCAGGTAATTAGGTCAGTTAGTTAATGAGGAAATCCCCAGATCTTGGCTGTCAGAGCGCCAGGCGCTCAGAGGCACCGCCAGCAAAGACCTTCCTGGGCACAGACAAAGCCAGAGATCACCCTGTGCCACGGGGAGAGCCAGAGTGGGCAAGTCACCCTGTGCATGTGAAAGCCACCAATCTGTCATCCTGCTGACATCTGCCTCAGCCCTAAGTGGATCAGCCAAGGAAGCAAGGGCATGGCAGTTTATCCAGTCCTTTAGCACAGGATCCAGAGCTTTCCAGGCTCTTGCTGTCTGGACAAGCACACCATGGCTCAGTTAAACTCGGCCCTGTCACCTCCACAACGCACCACGATTAATGCACAGCTGCCTTGAGCGTTCCCTGACCATAAAACACAGAGTCAAAGCCTCCAGGAAGACAGATAAGGGAATTCTCCCAGCTGGAATACAAAGGGCCCAGAGGTACGTGCAAGACTGATGAGCAGGAGCCTCAGCAGCAGTGCTGATTGCTTGAGCTCACAGTGGTTTAGATTTGGAAGAGTGGCTGAAAGTGTCTGCAGAAGGCCTCCAGAAAGGATGTGACCAACCCAAGGCAGGACAGCCTGGCAGGTCCTGCCTAACAGTGTGTCACTTTGCCAACTAAATGAGCAGGCCAGACAAGTTTAAACACACTGCTGTGAATGAAAGACCCAGGAAGAACTCAAAGTTCTGATGAATCAGAAGGCAGGTGCCACTATAAATGGGTTTATATAGCAGGAACAAGGCCATGTGGACAGAGAGGGACAGATACGGGAGGGAGCTGGAGATCATCACTGGGAAACTTATAGACAAGAGTGGGGCAGAGTAACTAGGCTTGCTAGCACAAAAGGACAGGCAAGAGGGGAACAGTGGTGTGGAGACCAGAAAGTGAGAGGCAGAAAGGGCTGGGGCTGAGAGATGCAATTACTGAGCAGCACACAAAGAGGAGCAGGGTCAGCTGGAGGATCTCCCAGTCACTGCTTTTGTCTCAGTCGTTATTTCCCTCTCATTACAAGAGGCCATGCTTGTGGGTTTTGTTTTGGCCACACATAAATAGCCTGTTTATCTGCCCGTGGGAGTACCCAGGCAACACAAGGAGAGTCGTCACCCTCATCCAAGTGCACTCTGGTCAAGCACAGTCACTGCCAGGCAGCTCAGCCACCTGCCTGGAGCTGCAGAGACACAGCCCTGCCCTGGTGGTGGGGAGCTCACCTGGGCTGTGCAAGGAACAAACAGGGCAGACCTGGCAGCAGAAGTGGCCCCTCAGCACTGGAGCAAAGCCCAGAGCAGGCAGGGCGTGTGCAGGCTTTGGGATTCCACGGGAAGGTGGGCAGGGAAAGGGGGAGTAACTCACCCCAGCCTGATACAGGAACCAGTGAGGAGCCAATCCTTGTGGACATGGATCTGGGCAACTGCTGGTGTAAGAACCCTGTGTGACAAGCAACATCCCAGCTCCCCTCCCTGCCCCAGGAACCCACCGGGCACCACGTTTTTGGTGCAGTCGCTCCCCCATTCCATCTCCACAGGCCACTAGAGGGTAACATCAGCCCAAAGCCTGAGCCCGGCTCCAGCCCCGACTCACTGAGCAGCGATTCCCCTCGTGGGCAGAGGTACAAGATTTTGACAGTGACTGGCAAAGCAAGGTACTAATTAAGAGCCACATGGGAAAGCCCCGAGCCCGTGTGATAAAACACCACGGTACAACAGAACAACTGGCCTTTTCCCACTGGATTCTGGGTTGAAATCCCATTTCAAAACATGGGACAGGAACTTGGGAAGCTAAAAGCACACCCAGAAAATGAACAAGTCTTAGGGCTGTATCATCTCCAGGCTGTTGTTACTAATGCCCACACAAGACCTTTTTCTGCCTCGTTCCTATTTCAAGTAGGAAAAGTTCAAAGGTCCCTTAGCAGGGCTGGCCAACACACCTGCACCCTGCCCCAGACAGCAGGTCTGGGACAGCCCTGTGTGCTCATGTGACAGAAACAATGATGCCACATTTTCTAGAAATTAATGAGTTCCAATTGCCAGTTTGGAAGGACATAAAAGATCCCGTTCCTAGAAGTGCTGAGCATTTCACTTCCCAGAAAGTCAGCCTTTTCTGAGGCATCAAAATGAGTATCCTGGCTCCAAAGCACATCTGGAAAGGCAGGTTAAGGAAGACACAGATGGTTTATAAAAGCAAGAAGAGCAGAGCCTGTATGGCCAATGAATAATGCCAAGAAGGATCAAACCCATTTAGTGTCTAGAGGAGCAAGAGGATGTGCTGCAGTGCTTTGTGCCCTGAACAGTGCACATGGAAAGTTCAGCCTGAGTTCCTGGCTGTAAAGGTCAGTAGGTAAAACGTGAAGGAGCTGCTCAAATCTCAGAGTGTGCACAGCACCCAGCCCCAGCCCCCCCTGTGCAGATCAGGGATGGCTGGAGGACTTTGCTCCGGCCTCAAGTCAAACACAACCTCACCAACAAGTGAGAAAATGGGGGAAGCTGTGAACCAAGAGATGATGGGCTCAGAACCTGCCTGAGGTAGCACGTTCCCTCCTGCTCCCACACTGGATTTCCTGGCTGGCAACACTGGGCTCTGTGCTGCTGTAAAGCAACCATTCCACAGCTCCTCACATCAGACTCCTGCAGCTCCCCCCTTGGGAATAAACACCAGACAACAAGGAAGTGGAACATTACAAAAGAAGAGGAATAAGCAAATGATAGCATGGGTTTGACTGTAGATGTACAGCAAGAACAGGGATACTGAGAGGGGAGCCTGGGAGGAGAGAGAGCCTCAAAGCTCATAAAAAATGCATGGCAACAAAAATCAATTTACCAAAAAGAAAAAATGCCTTTAATTTAAGGCCCTAATGCCTCCTAAATCGATAGATTGATGGCTGCTTAGAAACTTTTCCCATCTTGCAGCCCAGAAATACACTGGAACTCTCCAAAGGCACCTCAAACCCTGCTGCTCTCTAACACCTTTCTCCAAGGAACCTTTGCAAGAAACCTCCCTGCTCCCACACAGCTCTGCAAAGCCCAGTGGCCCGTGAAAGGTGCTGGCAGCCTTCCCCCATCCCAACCCTCTGAGAGGAATGGGCCTGGAGAGAGTTTCCCTGGGGCTGACGTGGCACAGCAGGGAGAGCTGTCACTGCACATCCCCCCCAAACCCCACTGTCACTGCACATCCCTCCCCAAACCCCACTGTCACTGCACATCCCTCCCCAAACCCACTGCACATCCC